CAACCTCCCCCACTTCTCTCACCACCCGAAGCCTTCTCCACTGTTATGTTTTTGTTCTATGCTAAAGCATAAATTCTTGGAAACCTCTCCTGGAGACAGCCCCCATCAGTCCACACATCTTCCCAAAAATTAATTTTATTGCCCCTTCCCAACTTCCATTTGATATACGAACTTCATTTCTCACCTCAACCACAAATACTCCTCCAAAGCCTACTCCCCTATTTCCCCCTAGCAACTTTCCAGCCTCCTCTGCCCTCCCACTTACCCATCTCGCCTCCACTATCCTCTTCCACAGCCTTCTGTCCTCATCGAGGTACTGCTACAACCATTTACTATGTAAAGCTTTATTCATCTCTACCAAAGATCTAATGCCCAAACCCCAACCCGAATCAGTTTTTTAACATCCTTCCAATTCACAAGGTGATAACGCCTCCTCTCATCATCATTGCCCCAAAGGAAACGGCATTGAATCCTTTCTAGTTTTCTTGCCACTTTAACCAGTAATGGAAGAGTTGTAAGATAGTGTATGGGGATATTAGATAATGTAATTTTTACAAGAATAAGTTGATCCCTCCAGATAAAAGATTCCTCTTCCACTTGATCAATATTTTATCATACATCTCAATCACCGGATCCCATAAAGCACCATCTTTAACTCTAACACCCAACGCGACACCCAAATATTTTAAAGGAAGACTCGTTTTTCTGTACCCCACCAATCCAGCAAAAAAGTCCAGCTCACACACATTCCCCATACTAACCATTTCCAATTTTTCAAGATTAATATATAGGCCTGATACAGCTTGAAAATACATGAGAATTCCACAAAGATTCAACACCATTTCCTTATCTGGTTGGCAGAAAATATCTGTATCATCCTTGAAGAAAAGATGTGACACCTCCACCTACCCGTCCCTCCTCCCAAACCAAACACCCCTCAAAAGCTCCCTCTCCTAGGCCCTCTCAATCATCATATTAAGAGCTTTCATAACAATAATAAAGACTAAAAGGAGAAAGGGGGTCGCTTGTCTAAGGCCCCTAGATGCCTTGGAAAAAGAGGAGGGCCCTCCATTGATCAAGACTGCAAATGATAAGCTACTTATACAAGCCCGAATCCACTTCCTCCACTTCATTGCAAAACCGAGCCTACCCAACATATAATCAACGAAGTCTCAATTCACATAATTATATGCTATTTCCATATCTAATTTACACAAAATACCATCCTTATTATTCCCCACTATATCATCCACCACTTCATTAGCCACCAAATCGCATCTATGATTTGTCTTCTATCCACAAAGCATGCTGACTCTCACCAATAACATTCCTCAACACACCTGCCATCTGTAGCAGAATCTTAGATATCATTTGTAATGTACCCACAAGCTATGGGTCTGAATCCTATATTCTTAGCTCTTTTTTGCGAT